GAGGGTTTTTTGAAATAAATAATTTGGTATTTCATTCAGCCTATTGCCATGATCTCTGTCATGACTGTTCTTCGTAGTTTGAAAGAGGGAAACCTTTGTGCGAGATGACTAGTTTGTCGTATAAAACTGCAGCCCTATCACAACTAGCACAGACCTGCGCTGGGCACTGGATTGCATGAGAAGGCCACGTCGTATTTCGAATACTTATATGTTTTTATATGAGTTCCAATCCAATTACAACTGAAAAGGCACAATGGACTGCGAGCACCTACAGAAGACCCAACCAAATACTTTCGGTGGAGGCAGCGTCCTGGTGTGGGCAGGAGTCAGCGATGTTGCAAAGGCCGCCCTTGTGTCTGTTTGTTGGAATCTATCAGAACTCAAGGCAATCCAAGCAAGTTCTCGACCTAAATGTTGTACTTTTCTTTCCAATCAAGCCCACGTATGAATACCCATTCATGATAATGCACCTGCTCATGAAGCTGCTGTGACAAATCAATGTTTCTCTCTCTCTCTCTCCCCCCCTCTCTCTCTCTCTCTCTACCCACCCCCTCCCTCTCTCTCTCTCTCTCAACATCTCTCTCTCTTTCTTTCATTTTTTCTTTCTTTCTCTCTCTTTCAATCTCTCTCCCTCTATCTATCTATCTATCTATCTATCTATCTATCTATCTATCTATCTATCTATCTATCTATCTTTCTATCTATCTATCTATTTATCTATTTGTCTGTATGTCTGTCTCTTTCTCTCACTCTCACTTTCTCTTTCTCAGCTTTAATTCCTCTTTTTCTCTTTTTCAATCCCTCTGCCTCTTTCCCATACAAGCACACACACACACACACGCACACACAGACATACACGCGCACGTCCACCCCCCTCCCCCACTCACACACATACACACTAAGATACACACACACACACACACACACACACACACACACACACACACACACACACACTGAGAGTAGCGATGTGACTGCGAGTCTGTAAGTCCATCCAATGGGAAAATGGAATGTATGATCACGTCGGTTCACGAGAGCAGTGGGAAACCGTGGAATGTATTACTATCAGGGTACTGACATAGCGCCTGAGTCTGACACAAGGTCTTGAGACACTTTGACACAGTCTTTGCAACATTGCTCAAAGTTATGAAATACTAAGACCTACGTAAGAGAAACGTTCGGGCATTTAAATTAGTGATAGTAACAACCTATCTATCAGATTGCAAAGAGGTTATAATTAATACTACACAAAGTATTAGTAACTTAATAACCTCTTTGATCCGAATGTCTTTCAAAGAGTCAGTGTGTGTATGCGTAAATGTTTGTGTGTATGTGTTTTACGTTTCTATTCAATGCGTGCTTGTACGTGTGTGTAGAAGGGAAAGGGGGGTGGGGTGTTTGAGCGTGTCGTGTATGTTTGTGCGTGTTCTAGTACAAAGCTGAAATTGTCTAAAATGGCCACCCATTATCGAGTTTGAGAAGTAGTCGTCCTAAACAGGTGGCTGTCTTATACAGTGTCACCATACTGTACAAAACCCAAAGGTAGAAAGGGAAGAAAGGTAGCGTGGCCGTTTGTACAGGTGATTGGCTTATACAGGTGGCCGTTAGAGCAGTCTCGGCAGTACGTTGGCCTGTTATGAGATAAAATACATTGATTATTATCTTAACCCTATCCGTACGCCCTGGGTTCATTTTGTACCCCCGGGGTTGTATTCTTCACATTTTAGAATGCTTCTAGTGCCAAGATCTGTTTGAAATTTTCAACATTTTTCAAAAAATTCATTTTGATAGACTGCTATGCAAAACGCATAAATCGGATTAACGAGTAAATTTCCTCTTTGAAAGGTTGTGGCACAGAGTTCCCCACGTCGTATAGATGTGATAGTAAAACACGACGTACGGGTAGGGTTAAAACGTGTTCTCCTCACGATGTGGGGAACACAATTCCAAAACCTGATTACTCTTCTGATATAAATGAGTTTCTTGTGTCTCATATTTTAAAAATCAGTCCTGGCGTATTGTAGAATCATGTAGACGTTTAATAATATATATTTTATAGTATTATATTTCTCAGGTTACAACTGGTCTGAGGAGCGTATGGTCGACATCTACCAGCTTTGTAGGAAATACAACCTCCTTATTCTAGATGACGGAGCTTATTACTTCGTGCAGTTTGGACAGGTTAGAAATACTACGAAATAGTGGAGTGATGATAGATTATTTATTCAATCATTATCATAATTATTATCATAATCGTTTATCTGATTCTTAAAAACAATTTAATCAAAAAAAGTTAATTAGTTATTTAATTTTGAATTAATTTTGCTAACATTTGCCAGGAAAATAAAACGTACATCTTGTTCTTCCGCGTGCGTCTATAGTGAGTTAATCTGAGATTGTTAACTTTGTTTCATTTTCTCCTACTCCCAAATATCGAAACGATCATTGTATGAAATCCACTTTGTTCATCTGCTTCTCTTTTTTAAAATGTCACCTGTCAAAGCCAGATATTTCAGTAACATCCTTGTGGCGAAAAAACGAATTGGATCCACTTACATCTCATTCTTATAAATAATTATTTTTTAAATAAAAATGTATCTTTTTCTAAGACTTTTCAAAATGATCTTATTCATAAACGAATTGATATTCAAAAACTATAGTCGAGAAACATTGTAATATTCTTCGTTTTGTATTTTTGTTATCGTTTCTCCATAAAAACCTAACAGAAACGGAGTCGAAGCTTCCAGTCGCTTGACGTCGATGGCAGAGTCATCCGATTTGACACCTTTTCCAAAATAGTTGGAGCTGGGTAAGCATATACTTTATTGTCTGTTATTACCTACTAAATCCAAAATCATGGATGTTAAAACAGAGAATATCGTTTTTTCCACTCTATTTTCGGTCGCATGTGCTCAGTCAAGAACTATTTTGTTCAAATTTTAATTGCTTTAAATAAGAAAAACAAAAACCAAGAAAAGTTGCATAATGTAGATCAGACTGATAAAAGGATAAAACGTATTTGTGAGGCCACGTGGTGGAATCAGGCTCTCGTCAATTTTTGGGCATGTAGAGTTATTGTTACATCTTAATGGTTGTTCACTTGTCTTTACTGGGGTTTAAAAAGTATCCATTTATCTTGAATACAAGTCGAGATATTTGCGAAAGAAGGAGGTGGGGGTCACCTGTTTTCAGAGATAAAATACGTGAGAAAATGGCCTCCAAAGATTAGTAATTTCCTTAGCTTAAGAGCCCGTGGTACCTAAAAATTTACATTTCTTGTGCCTTTAATCAACGTTTTTCATGAAAATTCACACAGAAATGAATTCTTTAATAGTCATGAAAGGTGTCGAGCCAAAAAACACAAATTTGATAAAAATGCACAAACCTACGGAAAAATGCAAGTTTCTTCACTTTGATTATTTTGACGAGAGCCTGATTCTACCACGCTGCCTCACATTTTTCTCTCTCTCTCCTGTTAAGAAAATGGCAACTGGGATTCTCACAATTGAACAGGTTGTTGGCGATATGGAATTCAATGTTTTGGACTAATCGTTAGCATAGAGCTATTTTGTTATGCATTTTTCATGCTTTGACGTAAATCACTTTAATTAAAAGCACTGAATACCAGTCACCAAACCAGACGTCTGTTGGCTGTTGAGCTGGATTTTACTCTGTACAAAATGCTTTCCATCTATATTATTATTAATCTTATTATTATCATAATGATGATGATGATGATGATGATGATGATGATGATGATGATGATGATGATGATGATGATGATGATGATGATGATGATGATGATGATTATGTCATTATTATTATTATTATTATTATTATTATTATTATTATTATTATTATTATTATTATTATTATTTATTTATTTTATTTTTTTTTAAATTATTTTTTAAAAATATTATTTATTATTGTTATCAGTATTATCATTAATATTGCAGTCTTGATTTTCTTGAACTGTTCATTTGCATCCAGTTATCGCCTGGGGTGGGCGTCGGGACCCAAAAGTATCATAGACAAGGTCACCTACGACATACAGCTGACCACGATTCACGCCAACGCATACTCACAGGTATCGTAGCATAGATTTTAATTACTTGTAAAATTTAGTGTTTCGACGGAAATTGAGATATAATTTAGTGAACATTCAATTTATTGGAAGTGAGGGAAGAGCATCACTTTTGTATATTATGGCTATTCATGTGTGTTCGTGTGTGTGTGTGTGTGTGTGTGTGTGTGTGTGTGTGTGTGTGTGTGTGTGTGTGTCTGTGAGTGAGAGAGTGAGAGAGAGAGAGAGAGAGAGAGAGAGAGAGAGAGAGAGAAAGAGAGAGAGAGAGGAGAAAGTAAGTGTGCCAGTGTGAGTGTGTATGTTAGTGAGTGAGTGTGTGTGATTGTGTGTGTGTCTGTACGTATGTGTGTATGTGTTTGCGTGCGTGTATGTATGAATGTGACAGAGAGAAAGAGAGAGAGACAGAGAGAGACAGAGAGAAACAGAGAGAGAGAGAGAGAGAGTGATACAGACAGACAGACAAGCAGACAAACAAAATGGACAGTGTGTTGACCTACGCATATTATTTAATGTGTGTGTACATATTAAACGATGCCACGCCATATTCTGTTTATAATCAAATTGAATAATATTGCCTTAAAACAAACACTCACACTAAAAGCAATCAATCATACAAACAAACAGGCTAGTAAACAAGTCGTCCAATGAGAAGGAGAACATGAATAATATGTCTCAAGTTCAAAAAAGCTCTCAGTTATTACATTTTTTTCTCTCTTTTTCTGGTAAATGCTTTAACCCCATCAATACAATTTTTGATTATCTAATTAGGAGTCGAGCTATTTTGACCCTACCTATCAGGGCCAATCCAACTTTAGTGAGACGCAACATGCCATTCGGTAGATAGGAACCCTCCTCCCCCTCCCCCTCACACAGACGCGCGGACACACACACACACACACACACATACACACACACA